TACAAAAAAAAAGCAGCATACTTTATGCATTTTGTGATAATGTACCCAAAACCAAGATGTACACACACAATAAGAATAACACAGAATAAGAGACAAAGAGAACATGTTATTTACCAAAAAACTTGGGATACTGGAAATTGATGCTCTGGCCCAGATGCACTATTTCAAAGGAGCATATCTGTGCGATTTTTGGTGCGACTTGGATGACATCTGTGACTTCACTTGAAGTCACAGGACTTCAAAGGAGCATTCAGTTCAATTTCAGGTGCAACTTGGATGACATCTGTGACTTCACTTGAAGTCACAGGACTTCAAAGGAGCATGTCAGTTCAATTTCAGGTGCAACTTGGATGACATCTGTGGCTTCACTTGAAGTCATACGATTTCAAAGCCGCATGTCATTGCAATTTCAGGTGCGACTTGGATGACATCTGTGTGACTTCATGCACAGATGTCTATGCAAGTTGCACCTGAAATTGCAAAAAATAGTGCAGGAACCTTATTTCAAATTCGTGCAGCACCGCAAAGTTGGAATTGCACCGATTTGAATGGTTCTATTGCCAACTATAGGGTACGACTTGACATGCAATTTGAAACTGTCAGATTGCATGATAAGTCACACCGGTGTGAACCAGGGCTAATACAATGAAGCCAGCTGCTTGGTAATATCCATTGCAACAATTCTTTGTTGGCGAATCATTACTCATAGAATCTTGTGCTGAATAAGAGACATACCCGCACACAACCACACATGCATTCATAGGAGAAAAAATTGGGGAGGTCTGAGACTCGGAAAATGCACTTATCACCTGAATACCAGTCACAGGCCCATTTTATCATCATTCTGCTGAATCAGAGCACCAAACACATGAATCACTGTTGCCAAATTCAGCAAACATTTTTGGGGATAGGCCCTGCTATGATACATTATTTTGAAGGGAAACTTCACTCTCGAAATCGACATTGAATATTTATAATCCTTATGCTGCTAGCATTAGTACATAGACAGGAAAGTATATCATATTTACTTGCTTTAAAACCTTATGTCTTCGTTACCATGCTTGAAAAATTATGTCATACATCCCAGGGGTCTTCAGGTGGGGAAGAGGGGTTTTCTCAGCTAAGCATGCCTGACTGTCTGCATGCCTGAGCTAAGGGCAGATGGATTCCAGTAAATGAAACAAATCATTTGCCCTTACTGTAGATGGCCGCGGCTAGAAATGCGAGGCAGTATTTTTCAAAGTGATTTCTCAGCATAATAAAGTATGGAGACATGGATGGATGGGGGAGTTTGCTTTGAATAATAACAATTAATGAGCTAGTGTTTTTGGTTTGTGGTGCTCAGATGCAGTGTAGTTCCACTTTACCTTAGATAAAAAGACCATGAATATGCCTCACCTGCTGAGTGAGCCAAAGAGGAATTACGGTCTTCCAATTTAAAAGAATAATTTTCCTAGTATATCATAGTACCAAACAAAACAATGTTTTTAGGCCCTTCGAAGATTCAGAGGCATCTTGTAGTGTAGACCAGCTTCCATGAAATAAACATTGTCAAGAGTGGAGATATACAGTATGTACATGTCCAAAATATGTGGAGCTTGTCTGTGTGTGGTACAGAGCATCTGGGGCATGTAGCATCAACTAACAAACACATTTAGTGTAATATCTCTGGAGCAGGGGTCTCCAAATTTTTTAAATATTGGGCCAGTTTACTGCCCTTCAAACTTTAGGGGGGTTGGACTGTGGCCAGTGGGAATAGAAAATGGTGGTCAGTGGGAGTAAAGAAATACATGTTTGGTATCATTGGGAGAAATAGTTCCCTATCTCTGGTGTCAGTGGAAGGATTATTGTCCCATCATTGGTGTCAGTGGGAGGAATAGTGCCCCATCCTTTGTATCAGTGGGAGAAATAGTTCCCGGTCAATGGTATTAGTGGGAGGAATAGTGTCACATCATTGGTATCAGTGGAGGGAATAGTGTCCCATCTTTGCTGTCAGTGGGAGGAATAGTGCCCCATCATTTGTAATTCTATATAACAACACTTAACCCTATAGTATCCCAGAAAAGTAATCTACCTCCACCCTTGAAGGCCAACTAAACAAAATATATATGACTTTCCTTTAAACAAATAAAATAAATAAAATAAAATAAAATAACACCGACACAAAACATCAAACCATGCAGAATTGTCCAAAATCCCACAGTGTCCAAAAACAATTCAAAATATAAAAATCAAAAATCAAAAAATTATAACAAAAATAATCCCCACAGGTGTAAAGTAAAAAGTAATCAGTTTTTTTACTTTTTACTTTACACCTGTGGGGATTATTTTTGTTATAATTTTTTGATTTTTATATTTTGAATTGTTTTTGGACACTGTGGGATTTTGGACAATTCTGCATGGTTTGATGTTTTGTGTTGGTGTTATTTTATTTTATTTATTTGTTTAAAGGAAAGTCATATATATTTTGTTTAGTGCCCCATCATTGGTGTCAGTGGGAGGTATAGTGCCCCACCCTTTGTATCAGTGGGAGAAATAGTTCCCAGTCAATGGTATCAGTTGGAGAAATAGTGTTACATCATTGGTGGCAGTGGAGGGAATAGTGTCCCATCTTTGCTGTCAGTGGGAGAATAGTGCCCCATCATTGGTGTCAGTGGGAGGAATAGTGCCCCATCATTGGTGTCAGTGGGAGGAATAGTGCCCCATCATTGGTGTCAGTGGGAGGAATAGTGCCCCATCATTGGTGTCAGTGGGAGGAATAGTGCCCCATCATTGGTGTTAGGAATAGTGCCCCTTCATTGGTGTCAGGGAGGAATAGTGCCCCATCAATGGTATTAGTGGGAGGAATAGTGTACATCATTGGTATCAGTGGAGGGAATAGTGTCCCATCTTTGCTGTCAGTAGGAGAAATAGTGCCCCATCATTGATATCAATGGGAGGAATAGTTCCCCATCTCTGGTGTCAGTGGGTGGAATAGTTTTCCATCTTTGGTGTCAGTGGAAAGAATAGTGTCCCAATTGCCACATGAAGGTGAACAAAGGGCCACATCTGTCCCATGGGCTGCAGGAGACCCCTGCTCCGGACTGTAAAGTAACTGATGTAGGAATTTAAAATGAATAAGATTGTCAGTGGTGTTTATAAATTCTTGAAACCAAACTAGTCCAAGATCTTCCCATAGGTCATCCTTCAGCACGAGGATTAGATGTGACCATTCACCTGGGGCAGCTACCAAAAAGGGTGAGATCCTCTAGATTGTAGGTAAATATACTGTATATTCGAAGCTTCTCCAGAGTCCCATAACTCATAAAAGACTCCAGCTGTAACTTAGATACATTCTATGCACCAAATTTAGACAGCACCACAATCTTGTATTTGATTTCTATTACGGAGAGTGTAGCCAGATCGTCATTCTCCTGTAGTGGAAGTATGATTGCATGTTGGGATGCTAGGGTGGAGCAATGGGGAGAATTTACTAAAACTAGAGCACTCAAAATCTGGTACAGCTGTGTATGGTAACCAATCAGCTTCTAACTTCAGTTTGTTCAATCAAGCTTTGACAATAAAACCTGAAAGCTGATTGGTTTTAATGCAGATTTGCACTCTCCAATTTTAGTAAATCTCCCCCGATGTTTCCACTGCAGTCCATAAGGAATATATAATGTTTCTAAAAATAATGTATTTCAGGTGGGAAGGGTTTGGACGGAATGGCAAAAAAGGAATACATTTGTAGTTCAGTTCTGTACAATTTTATTCTTTGGCTATTGCATGTTTTTTTTTCCAACATCAGCTTGGGTGCCATATCCTCTGTATTACTAAAGGACGGACAGTCTTGTGTGGGATATAGCATTTTCTTATCATTTTTAATTTCACAAATCTTCCATTGTGTTACCGTCCAGTGGCTCATTCATATAAAGCTATGATAGTTATTTTATATTGCCTTTTTTTTTTTCTTGCTCTGCAACACTAACCAAGGTCATTCTGAATGGTTTGTGCTTCCTGGCCTGCCAAGCATTTGTCCAGCAGAATGAAGTTTAATTAGTTAATACAAGTTGAAGGCTGATCTTAAGTGGCCTGAAATATGACCTCCTTGTAGGAGACATCTGGCAAGGGGAGCAGTTTTGGTGATGGTTCAATTGTCCTTTTATTCTGTTCTCTTGTCATGAGGAATAACACTTACAGACAGACAAATTATCCCCTATGATAGTGACATGTTTAGATTATTTATTTTGTGATCTTATATTTTGGGAAACCATTTTAATGTCTGGTTTTCAATGTTTTATGAAGACTGTAAATGCACAACAGTCAATACTGGGACATAGATGGGGAAAATAATTTGAAGCAACTTTGGATCTGAACTAATCGGGCATGCTGGAGGAGCAGTGATCATATCAATAGGAATGGACTAAAATGCCGTCTCCCTGCATATCTGACATCTCTTTGAAATCAATGGGCACATTTACCTAGAATAGCATTGGCGGTCAAGTGTGGAAAGCTCATTGTAAGCAGTTTGTTGCTGTTCTGTTTGACCAGAATTGAGATAAGAGGGATATAGACCAGACTGAAGTCTTATCCTCCACACATAGGTCTTCTCCTGAACAGATATCTCTGCCAGATTGGCAAATTCACTCTTAGGAACACTACATACAGCATTTTTGTGCTCTGAGTAAGTCTAGGCTCATAGTAGCCTAGTAAAATGCACCTTTATTTCTGTACAGGCTAGTACAACTTCGGTTCCATCAGTTCATCGCTATGTTCACTAGTGGTGATCTGCGGTTGAAAAATGCCAGCGGCGGACTGACAACTCATGGGGCCCCTGGGCAATAGGGGATCATGGGGCCCCTGTGTCCTTGCCCAAACTCAAAAAAGTCTATGAAAAAGGTACCAGGGGCATCTCATGGGGCCCCCTACTGACCCCGGCCCTAGGACAGTGCCAGAGTTTCCAAATGGTCTGTCCGCCCCTGGTCACTGCACATGTACAAGCCTTTTAGGTGTTACTAAACCCACAACAGTAAAATCAATCTGGATATGCAGTAAAGCTTACTTGTTACACTCACTATGGAACCTAAGGGGTTAACCCTCTGCATTATGTAAAAATGCCGTTTGATCCCGTCTTCTTTGTTCCTTCTCTCTTCTTCTACTATCCCCAATCCAGATCCTGATAGAACAGAGCCTTGGAGGCAAGCTGCACATGCTCAGTTTGGTGTCTTCTGTTTTTTTTTTTTTTTTTTTTTTACTTGAGAGAGTACATGGGATCAGCTCAGGGCCAATCAGTGCTGTCTAGACAGAGAGTCAGCGGTCCTGCAGCCTCATAGGACAATCAGGTGAGAATGAAAACTCCTCCTACAAGCTTTAACCAGTGCTCTGCTGGACACTGATAGAAGTCACAAGACTGCTCTAACTGCTGATGAGAAAAGGTATTTAGCAGTTTATATTTACTAAAATAATTGAAGTTCTGTGGGAGACCAGATAGAGTGAATGCAGGCTCCTGGGTTTAGTAACACTTTAATGTGTATGTTTGGGTAAAATAAATATAAAAACAAAACAAAAAAAACAGGTAGAATGAAATTCGTCACGAGTGGTCCTCCAGCCTGTAATTTCTGGCTGAATAAAAATGTTTTCATGTGGAGTGATATCATCAGTGTGGGGCCTTCTGTTAGATAATTGCAGCAGTCCTCTTTTTTTTTTGCCTGAACGTTGAAAGTAATATACAATATATTTTAACCTCAAGTGTATCTAAACCCAAGGAGAAAATGACATTTTTTTTTTCAGGCCAGTAACACACTTTCTGTCCTAGGGTGACAATGTATTGTACTGTATCTGAACTGTGTTGTTATCTTAGGACAGCTACATAACATAGGGGAGGTGTGCTGTAGTCCATAGAGAGGGCTGGGAGCAATGCAGTTGATAGAAGTGCAATGCAGGCAGATATTTCAAAAACTCGCAAGATTATCTTGCAGGACCAACTGATAATTTTTTGGCCTAAAAAGTAACAAAATGCTGTCAATGGTACATTAAACAGACCAAACAGAAACAAATAATAGAGATATTTATTGTCAGGTTTTACATACAATTTAAAGATCCATTTACAGTTGTGGAAGAACTGACACATTTACAATTCCCAAAAAAATGTTTTGCTCCAGTCTTCCTCCATTGCTGCTTATGATGAAAGACACAGGCTTTCTGTCATGTGATCCCTGCAGCAGGAAAGGTGATTAGCTTGCCTGCACATAACCCCTTTCCCTACTTTCCCTAAGAAAAGATCACAATTGCATAGACTTCTAGGTTCACACATGTGGCATTGCTTTCCACCCCTCTGAAAAAACAAACTGCGGTGTAACCACAGAGGCATTTGACAGGTGGTAGTGATATGTTTCTGCCACACCACTGGGCCGCAAATGCATGCATGACATGTTTTGCAGGGCAGTTGCTACGCATCACCATTCATTAGAATAGGTTGTATTTGATGGTTGTAGTGCCTGCTGAAAGCAATCTTGGAATCATTTTTGCTGTGGTTGCAGCATGTGTACATTCCCTTCTGTGCATGAAGGTAAAAGAAAACCTTCTGTGTGCAGCAGCTCCCCCCCCCAATACTTACCTAAGCCCTATCTCAATCCAGCATTGTGCACAAGAGCCTCGGCTCTCCTGGGTCTCTCCCTCCTCATTGGCTGAGACAGTTATTGGCTCCTGCTTCTGTCAATCACAGCCAGTGAGCTAATGAGGAGAGAGCCAAGAGTTCGCCGGTCCACGTTTTGTGTGTGAATGGACAAACAGTGCAGTGGCTTGGGAGCGAGCCTGCTTGGGTGCGCCCATAACAAGCTGCTTTCTCTGGGGGTGCATGGCAGGAGGGAGGGACCAGGAGCGCTGGCAGGGGACCCAAGAAGAGGAGGATCGGGGCTGCTCTGTGTAAAACTGCTGCACAGAGCAGATAAGTATAACATTTGTTTTTTTTTTTTTTATGCCTTTAATATGCCTTTAATATTGGCCATATGAAGAATTTTAAAAAACTGGGAGAACAGTGTCATGTTAATTGCTAAAATGATTCCTTGCATGTACAATCATGGACTATAAAAATGAAGTGCAATCAAGAAAGATTTTGGAATTCCTTTTTTTTAACCCTCAATGCTATGGATTTTAGTTGCTCAGTATTCCAAACAGTGGCTTATATTCTCACCTGTCTACTGTTTGGACATTACAGTTAAAGAATGTATTGTTGGCCAGCTGTGAATGATTGTAGATGTGAACATGCAAATACACTAGTTCACACAAAGTTCCATTCAGCATTCATGTGTATCTTATCTAACAATACAACCAGGGTTTTATCTCTCAGAAAAATGCTGAATGTGGGATCCACCCCTTTAGCTTGTTGTACAGTATAATTTTTTAAACTACTTGTACATGCATATAATATACCACACTTTAGTTAATGGTGTGCCTAATTGTGGGATGTTTCCTTTAATTGTTAGTCTTGATTGTAGTGTGATGCCCATGCGAGTATTGTCACTGGACACAGTTATTCTTATATATAAGCAGAAACGCCAGTTGATTATCATAATTTTAGGGTCTTTATTTATCTCCTACAATATTGTTGGAACTTTAATCATCCTACATGGGTACACTTGCCAATCCCCAAGAAATAATCTTTTTTTTTAGGGCTCCACCATCTGAAAGATGACTACAGCAACAAATGCTACCAAAGTTCAGTTTTCTTTGCAACCTTTTGTTTTCCAGCCTGCTAATTAACAAATGATGGGTCAGCATTACTCCTTATTATGATCTTTGCTCAAAAAAAACAAATCAACAATGTGCAAAGCTATAGTCTGCTGTGCTCAGGTCGCTGGTCCTCCCTTGCTTAGTCCTGGTCTAAAGGAAGTTTTTAGGTAGAAGAAATATAAATGCCATCCTCTGCCCTCAAAGTTAGCCTTCCTGCTGTCTCCTTAACACTGGATGCCAAGGTTGAAACAGCCATCAGTGGAAATGAAAGATGGCCTCGCACTGATGATGTCACAGTGTTTGCCAGTTTATTCCCCAGCCAGCTGAAGACCACCCTGTCTAATGTTTTATATCCAGCAGGGCTTAGTTTTGAAGAAACGACTCAACAACTAAGTCCTGCTGGGTGAAATATGTTAGAGGATGTGTTCTTCAAGCAGGGACTACAGTTACGGATGTCAGTGAAATAAACTCTCAAGCGTTGTGACGTCATCTGTGTGCTGGTGTCCTTTATTTCCTCAAGGTTTTCAGGTACTTGTGAAAAAAGGGACAGGTCCTCTTTATGGACGTTTGTGACCTGGAGGTTTTAGCATACAGGGAGCGGGCCTGGCTACTGATTGGTATGAGGTTCTTAGATGAGGTGCTTCGCAAATAAACAAGGATAATAAGTTCCTTTGGCAGTACAGGAAAATGGAACACCTGCCGTCAGGATGCTTGTGTAGTGAACCTTCTAGGCCAGGAATAAACCCTGCATTGCCAAATTTTGGACAGGGCTACTGCCTGGATGGTATGTCAGATTACATATTCTTATGAAATATTTTTCCCAAGTGAGCCAAAGAGTTCTTTTTGTGCACAGCTACCAGCCTGTTGAAGGGCTTGCTCTCACCAGCAAACTGCACTGATCGCAGGGCTGCTGGTATACACTGGGAGTAAACAATGCCAATGCGCTTTTTCTTTTTTTTTGTTAGAACTTTTTTGAAATGTCACAAGTGACTTTCTATTAGGTTCTATTCTCGCTGCATGACGTACAGTACGTTTTACAGTACATGCGACCGCATTTATAAATATCTGTTTACTGTGAACATATTGCAGCTGTTGGTATTCATGTTGGCCTCTGTAGCCCACCATTTGGAACCTTTTTGTTCTCCCTAACCCACAGTCATTCTGTTCCTTAACCCAGCCAGCTGTGTTTCACAGCCAGCGTGCTGCTTCACTGGGTAGGCTCGAGAAAGGGGGAGCTGTCCTTAAAATGCGTTGCCACCTACTATCCTCCCCACAACTCTATGCATGATGTGTAAGGTGTAAAGGATGCAGCCGTAGACACCGCCAGTTGCCATTCAGTGGAGCAGGTCCAGCACTACAAAAACCAAGGCTTTTCGACCATCCTTGCTGCTTTCTTTGGTTGCTGCTGTATTCTTCTCCTTTGCACCTGGAGCTGGACACAGGCATTTCATATATGAGTGATATTATTGTAACTACTAAATGTGTTGTTACTCATTTCTGCAGCCTCACTACTTTTGTTTTTACATGTCCTGATTTGGATTGATCCCAGGATCTGTTTTAGAGGACCTGCAGGATTCCTTCCACTCCACCTTGAATCATCTATGGACTTTTTAGTTCTAGCATGACTAAAGCAGTGTGTTCTTATGCGCAGAATTTCCATATGTACTTAAGTCATTTTATACTTACATTTTCTTCTTTTGAAGACTGCTCTAAAATTTTGCATTTCTGCTTACTTTCTTTATTGGTGACAGTTGTTATCAGTACAAATAGACAGTGAATCTCCCCAATTGGGAGTAAAGTGGTATTAAATAAAAAATGTGATATATTGCAGCTTACCAATCATTAGATGTGGTGGCTGCATTAGTTTTCTTTTCTTAGGTTTTTTCCCTTGTTTTTACCTGGTGATCTGGCCAGTAACATACCACCTGTATTAGAATACCTCCACTTTTAAAATCACTAACAAATTGAAGCCAAACTCCTCTCCACTTTAGTTACAGCAAACTGTTTTTTTGGGGAATAAATAAATAAAAGCTGGTTATTGCCAGTGCTAGTATTAAATGTTTTGTCTCATCTCTGTAACTCAGGGATCTCCAAACTTTTTAAACAAGGGGCCAGTTTACTGTCCTTTAGGTTTTAGGGGGGCTGGACTGTTGTCATCAGGAATAGAAATTGTCCTGGTATCAGAGGGAGTAGACAATGCATCTTTGGTATTAGGGGGAGGAATATCACCCCATTGTTGGTTTCACTGGGAGGAATAGCGCCCCATCATTGGTATCAGTGGGGGGAATAGTGCCTCATTGTTGGTGTCAGTGGGAGGAATAGTGCCCTATCATTGATGTCAGCGAAAGGAATAGTGCCCTTTCATTGGTGTCTGGG